TTTCTCAGGCAATCGACTATCGTTTCGGATCTGTTTTCAACTCACTCGTATCTGTATGTTGTGGTATCGGTATTGCATTCTACTTTGGATGGCAGATGGCTCTTTTGGTAAGTAAGAAAAATATTTATACTCTCTGCGAGATTTAGATCTAATGTTTATTCCACCAAACGCCTTATCACCCTCCGGCTAGATGCGTTCCCCTCTCTGATTTCATTTCCTCTTTAGAATTTTGCTTGTGAAATCGAAGGCGTAAACGCATCTAGCCGGAGGGTGATAAGGCGTTTAGTGGTATAGCTATTAGATCTAAAACTTGCACCACTTTAGGCCTCTGAAAACGACGGTAAGTCGAAACGTAAGGCCGCATTAATAAAGGCTTCACCAAACCTCGTATTGGCTTAATAAGATCAACATAATCAATCGTTATAAGTTCACACTGTTTAGACTATCGCGATATTCCCACTCGCGGGTGTTGGACACTTCTTTCAAATGAGATTCATGTCTGGACGAGCCGGAGGTGATGCGAAGGAAATGGAGAATAGTGGAAAGGTAAGAAACTAGATACTGTAGTAGATATTGCAAGAATCTCATAATCATCCAGATCGCCATGGAAGCCATTGAAAATATCAGGACAGTACAAGCTCTGACACTAGAGCATCGTTTACATCATCAGTTTTGTCGCCACTTGGACGGACCACATAAGACAAATAGAAGAAAAGCAGTAATGCAGGTGTGGATTTGGAATCTTGCCAAATCTCGCTTTTTTATTTTGTATGCCTTTTAGGGTGCTTCATACGGTTTCGCTAGCAGTATATTCTTTTTCTTGTATGCAGCATCTTTTCGGTTCGGCCTGTGGCTCATTCTCAATGGCGATATGATGCCAATGAATGTGCTAAGGTAATGAAAAAGTTTTCGGAAAATCTTTCAAGGATGATTTCACGTTTTTCAGGGTACTATTCGCCATTTCGTTCACTGCTGGAAGCCTGGGATTCGCCAGTGCTTACTTCCCCGAGTACATTAAGGCAACATTCGCAGCCGGTCTAATCTTCAACATGCTGAAAGAGGAGCCAAAAATTGACGGAATGACCGATAAGGGCAAGAGACCAAAACTCACTGGATCTGTCTCGCTCAACAATGTCTTCTTCAACTACCCGGAAAGACCAAACATACCCATTCTTCAAGGATTCGATATTTCTGTGGGTTTTCTTACACTTTACAGCCAAAAGCCGACCAGTGTGTTTTTGTGAAAGCCACAATAGTACGGTGCGGTGCCGACAACGCTTGCGCGTAACCTCCAACTTAGAGCATAGCAAGCTCATCCTCCATATTATTATCCTTATGAAGAGTAAACGATAGATAGGTTTCTTGCCAGCTCGACGTATCCTCCTTATCTGAAGAGCGATAGCTTGGAGCTTGTTATCAGCGACCCAGAAAGTCCCGCAAAGTTTAGCCTG